TCCCTGGAGCCCACCGCTGCAGGAAACTGGACTAACTGGCACACCGCCGTCAACGTCCTGTAACTAAACTGAACTGAACGGATCTGAACGCGCGCCCTACGATCCACCGCGCTACAATTACACGCTCCTCGTGGCATTTTGGTAATTTCGACATTATCGCTTAATATCATGCGTCGTCGTTACTCACGGGTAGACATTATCGCGCACATTACCCGGAGGGATCCCTCCTACCAAAAGGATTGATATGTATACTGACTGCTCATGACTAATGTAAAATGTGCAATACAGTAAGAAAATGGTGTCGCTCAGTCGAAAATCAGCTCTGCAAACAGGGGACAAGCGAAAAGCAATTGGTTCATATTGGTGAGCAGAGATGGTAGCTGTTGTGCCTCCCCAAAAGAACGGATACATGTTTTTACGCTATTTCTGATAGTTAAAATGCCATATGAACCCTGAGCGCAATGCCAACTGGGTAACGTTTTCCCTTCCTAGCTAAAAAGTGTTGCCGAGCAAGCCTTATCTCTCTTGACCGATGGATGCCCGGTTCAGAGGCTGACTCTTGTCCGTTTATCTCTCCTTTCACTCTATGACGGATGATGATCAAGTATGAATGACTACTGGACCGTCGTGATCAGGGTCCCATGAATACTCCTCCACCAACCTCCAACTGATCCAGCCTGAAAAACCAAATCTCCACCCCACCGCATGAGAAACCTGAACCCTAGGCAGTGACCATTCGAGACCTGATTGGATTACGCGTACCCTGTTTATGACACCGTGGGTACAATCAGAGCGTTCGACAAGCATTCAGCGTCGTACTGTGGTTCTCGTTATGGGGCCAGTAAGGATGTTTACCAATAAACAATAATATAGGCATAAGATTGCATGCATGTATGCAAGTATGGTATGGATGTGTTCATGTTTGCGTATGATTGAACGTATTCGTGGTTGTAGGTACAAGCGCATCGGATGGTATAAAAACTGTGACGCAATTGCAGGCGAGGGTAATCAAGAGTAGGCTAAGGTGAATCAAGTCTGTTTTTTCGTGTTACATGTTCGTACCAGTCCTTTCCAGATAAACGTTTAAGTGGTCCCTACTAGATCGGACTAAAGAAAATACCGCCAAGTGAGGCGAGAATTTCAATAGCTGTCGAAGCGCATCGAGAACACAGGCTCGATTGCGCAAGAAGCTGGCCGCTCGTTTGGTATCAGCCGCTAGTCCTGTGATCTGACCTGACTAAAAAGTAGAACTCTGATTTATTGTATTTATTATATCAATCATAAGTATAAAAACGAATCTGCTGAATGTTCAACAGGGATACACCTGTCTGATATGTTGCATGAATTTGTCAATGCCATTATGGAACATCTGAATTGAAAATTCAAACCGCATGCGGTATTGTACTCCATCTAGACGGTCAGTTTATTTCAGTTCAGTTTGCACAGGACGGAAGTGGTCGAGACCAATCGTGTGCCCAAATCGTTGTTGTCAGCTAGTTGCCTTGACTTCCAACACTTCGTCAAACGTTCGTTCTGCTTTTTTCTGAAAGGCAGAATTTTTAGGTGCAGTATCACATCCACCAGATATGTAAAAATGAAATACATAAATATAGGAACGAACTCACCTTGTTCCTTTATCGCCTCTCAAGTGGCTAGCTCCGGGAATACCACATCCCAGCACAGATCCAAGGCCTTTTTAAAGGCCACCATTGTTGAGCAGTAGTCTGTTCCACAGAGGCACCACACTGTTCGTGAAGAATCTGGTCCTTAACTGCAGCCCAGAGTGTTCTCGTTGCAGCTTAAGGCTATAACCCCTAGTGCTACAATCCAGAGCAGGTACGAAGAGGCTGCTTAGTTCTGTACCAGACTACCCCTTGACTATCTTGAAGGCTTCACTCAAGTGACCCCTGATCCTTCGGCGTGACAGCGAGAAAAGATTCAGGTCCTAAAGACGCTGCGAGTAGCTCTTTCCAACCTGTCTAGTGATCATTCTGGTTGCCAGTCGTACCCTCTTTAGATACTCCGTATCTTTGCTATAGTATGGGGTCCAAGCTTGCACGCAGTATTCCAACAGTGAATGCACCATTATCTTGTGAGGTGGAACGAACACCTCTGGCCTCCTGCAAGTGACTGTGGTCCTCAGTCTGAAAGATACTCATCTTGCTTTATTTGTGGCCACCTGACAGTGCCTAGTTGGTCGGAAGTCCTTTGTAACAATTATTCCTAGATCTTTGACCTCCGTCCCAGATCATGCCACCGACAGATTCTGTTACATTCTTCAGTCTGCGTTTTATGCGGCTCCGGGATGTACACGTTATTTGTGTGCACTGCCGTCGCAAGATTGATGAAGCCGCTCGAGTGATTACCGCACATATGAATATATACCAAAGAACATAATAAACGGTACGCGCCCCATTAGTCTGTATGCACCATGGTTCTAGATATCAACCAACGTTTCAGTATAGGCAGAGTGTGGACGCCGATCGATCTTTCACTGGTTGAAAATATCCTTAAGGTTTCGATCATACAAATTGATCAGGTACTACCCTACTGAGGCACCTTAGTACAGTTACGTAACCGAAATAAATAAATAAATAGGAAATATTATCTAAAATGGAAAAACATTTACCATGCCAATAGCAAGAAAAAACGTTGAAAGCGACCAAAATAGGGGGGGGGGCGAAGTTAGTGAAGTTATAAGCCACGGGATGGGTCCCCAAGGGTAACGTGAGCGGAAATCATTTGTTTCAAACATACAGGGACATCCTCTACTGGTTCAGTGGTTTGTGCGACTCCAGTTACGCATTGTCCAGTCGTAGCACAGTGGGGACCATTAGCTCACGAGTACAAAAGCATGGACGTCCACTGACCGAAGCCTAAAGTCCTGTGATTTGACCTGACCTGACTAGGTTGGACCAAAAACACAAGCGGGTAGGATGGCAAGTTGCTCTTAATTGCACCCCTCTGTCCAAAATGACTGTCCCCTAATTGGTTAGAATTAACATTCAGTCCCTGTTTCCAAAGATGCCGGATCTAACTAGAGTCCAGGTGGATAAGTTTTGTTATTTGGGCAGCTACGTCTCACCCGGTGGACGTATGAAAGCTCGGTTGACGTTTGCCAACTTGAGACATTTGTGGTGCCGTCAAGACATCCCGCTGTCTGTTAAGGGTCGAGTGTATGCTGCAACAGTTCGCCAGTTCTGATATCTGGAGCAGAAAATTGGCCATTAAGCAAAGATAAACAGACTGTCGGTGTTTGAACACCGCTATCTACTCAGCATTGCACGAGTCTGGTGGATTAACCGAACGAGCAATGCTGAGGTCAGGCGTAGAGTTTTAGGTAATCGCGGTTGTCCACTGGAATAAGTGATCAACCTCCCTGGGTTATGTTGGTTGGAACATGTATTACGCATGTCACCAAAGAGGTTGCCACGGCGAGCGATGTTTGCCGAAGCAGGTAGCGGTTGGTAAAAGGTCAAGGGTGGTCAGACGAAGACCTGATATGAGGGTATAGAAGCCCTAACCAGGAGACTAGGTCACATAGGTCCCGTTGGGCTCCCTGGTTGGGGAACACGAGAGGATGGTCATCGATGGTTCGAGACACATCTAGTTGGGTGCCGCAAATAGTGGCGCTCGTACATCTACTCGTTTTTCTTGCAACGTCAGTCTGTATGAATCCTTGAATCTGCCAGTGTTTATTCTACTCTTTCATCCAAATGGGTGACCAAAAGACAGCAACCAAAATCGGTGCATGAAAATGGATGATTCATAGTTGTGAAACGGAAACTGTTCAGAGCGATAAATTTTTGATTTCACGCATTTCTTTAAGGGACTTCGGGTATGTTTACTTCCATCACATAGTTGATCTTTCTACTGAATTCCACGGTATTCAAGTAGTTATGGTCATCAAATAGCGACCTGGACGTATTAATTCCAAATCCCGCCATCGGCGTTTATCTTTGCCATTCCTGCACTTCCCCAAGGAGCCTTTGTGTAGCCGCGATCACCTTCCTAAACTTAAAGTTGTATGCTCGATAAATAAAAAGATTTATGCGAATCAGGTTATATTATAATATGATCAGACAGTCGTTACAATCTATTTAATTTTACTTCCTTACAGTACCAGAACCAAAATCATGCCCGTCTGCATGTACCCGGCGGTACTAGCACCGGAACGCCATATTCCAAACTATGCTCTCCAAGGCGAAGCTGATTCCAGTTCGCATATACGTCAAGGCTCAGCAGTGGTTCCTGGTGAAATGATATTTTCTTCCGGTGCTAATCTTATTACCGGTCATGGTACTTATCGCGATGTGGACGTCGACCCTGTCGGGGATCAAATAGCTCAAACTAAGGTAGTCGGTGCGACACCCGCCAGCACGGATGAAGCCATGCGCAACGCTCCGATGCGAACCTCTCTCACAGGCCGCGTTCGTATTGTGAATAAACTAGTTTACGTGGAACCTCCGAAGGCGCGATATTCTGGTAGTGTTGGGGACACCGTTGTCGGTCGCATCGTCGAGGTATCTAATGGTATTTTTGAATCTTTAGCTTTCATATCATTCATGGAATGCTTTTATTTGTGATATTTTTTGGTTTGACATCAAAGTTTGAGCTGGTCGAGTGCCAGTGTATAAATTCTGATGTTTTAGAGTCACTATCTTTATTGCCTAATGGTAGTAAACGGTTCTCCCGACCGAGTAGTGCGCTTATCCTAATAGATTCATTCACCGCCTGTCACAATATCTTGCCTTATCTTTTGGGGCCTTATGGGGTTTATCACTCCAAATCTCAGGTTTAGAGTAACCAGTTTCTTCAGAAGACCTTGTCAGGAATTCGCACACTACACAGTGCATCATCATCATCCATCACAATAAATGCACCTTGAGGTGGTCTGATGGCTTGTGCACGTCTCTGACCATGAGAGTCACACAGGATAGTTTTTGTCGGGCCAAAGATCTAATCATGCTTGATAGGTCAGAGAGTAGAAGTCAGATGAAGTCCAGTTTCTTGGTCCTCCAGGTGAAGGATACGACTAGAATTGGCATCTAAGCCCGTAAAATTGCTGAAGGAGTAATCGATCCAAATAAATGGGCCTCCTTTTCGCTTCACTCACTGCTTTACGGTTAGGTTCTTGCCAGAACCAAAGGCTTTTTTTGAGAGCCTTAGTCGTTCTCATTTTATGGACAGATGTCCAGCCACTAAGGCTTCAACAAATACGCAAACAAAAAATGATTATTTTCTATATCGATTGTAAAAAGTTCAGTAGCCTCAGTGGGGTTTGAACCCCCGCATTGACGCCGCCTACGTTTTTGTCATCGGTGTGGCCTCATAGCTCAGCTAGTAGAGCATGCGCTGTACAAAAGCGTAGGTGGTTCATATGTGATTTCGAATCCCACCGAGACTACTGAACTTTTCACAATCAACATAAAGAACTTCCAATCTGCTAAACAACAATTTGAACAAAAAATGGTTCCATGCTGCATCGGTCGTCGCGAAGGATAATTAGGACTGCGCTGCCCATTGCATCGAACGTCTGGGTAGTAAGCAATAAGTGTGGTGGTGGCGTAGTGGTTTATTCGCTGTCACAGGCGTGCTTTGGAACCTTATGGTCCGAGGTTCGAGCCCCGCCACCGCCACCCGACTTTGGTGGTAGGCAGCTCTGCTGTCGTCTGGTTTAATACCACGCCTAACCTATCGGGGCCTTATGTGGTTCGCCACTCCAAGTTCCGGGGCTTAGGTTACCGATTTCAACCACTGAACAGCAGGTCCTCGTGACTATGGGGTGTACCCTGTCTGCTGCTCATCACACCTAGGTGTGTAATGAAAAAAACTGTTCAGATATCCCAACCTTTGTTTAACTATTTAACTTCTATACCCAACCCTCTCCCTATACCCCTTTCTCCGACCCGTAATATCCCATCGGGCAACTTGTTTGCCACTCGACAGAGCTCGCTGCCAAATAGCACTACGTAGTTTACCACTAAATAGAGTGCATAGTCTGAAGCCCCGTCAACCTGTCAGTTGGGGGCCTTCAACGTGAGGACTTATGCAGGTAGATCAGTAAGCTTGTCTTGCGCTTACAATGGACTCCGGAAATCAATGCGCCAACCAGCTGCAGCCGGCATCCGGGGCTATAACCGCGTTGGTGGACCACTGGTAGTTCACCTAGGGCAGTTGGCCAAAATCCCTGATCCAAAACCAACTAAGAGGAGGCGTAAGAACCACACACCTTCCCGGTTGTGGCGGTTGTGGTCACCGGCTCAATTGGGCACCTTGGACATTTGACCCCGTCCAAAGGGCGTATCGTCCGATGAACTGGACACCAGCCCCTAACAGATTACGGTTTTCACACACCGCCCCGCTGCCTTGTGTCAGGCTTTGGCTGGTCGAAGGCTCCGGTTACGGATTCCTCAAGGAAGTTCACTTGCCTTGGCCTGGGCAATCTGGCAGTATTCCGCTCACATGCAAATCATGGAACGTTTATTGCTTTCATAAAGATTATTGTATCATGATTTGTTCGACACAGTCTGGCGTCAGACGTTTATGAAAAAATAAAAATAAAGTCCCGAGTCACAAAAAGACGAATTTTATAGAGAACTAACCTGGTCCATCCGATTGAGCCGTAGCTCTGATGCTATAGTGTTGGTAGGTAAATTCGACACAGGTTGAAAAACTGAACGCTTCCAAAGCCTGTCTGAGAGGTCGCTTCGCTCTTTCCTCCCAACGAACAGACAACGCTGATCGATGTCGAAAAATGTCAGCTGTTCATTCTTCTCCGTTTCGATTGTGAATTTGATGCCGTTGGATGTGTTATTTATGACTTCATATGTTCCGTTGCTGGTCGCTGTCAAACAGAATGCGTACGAGGTAGGTGAGAATGTGTGAGAAATATGGGGATTAGGCCTATTTTGATGGACGGGAAAAGCAAACCTCTGTGGTCAACGCACAGAAGTTACAGCCAGGTCACCACTGCTATCAATTTGCTGCCATGACCTTCCATGTCTCGAATCATCCAGTTACTGAGTCTTTTGGACCCCAACCCGGAAAGCGAGAGACACCCGTTCTACCTAATCGCTCTGCGCATTTCCTCATGCATCGTTCTACATCATCTGCTGGCCACGTTTCTAGTGAGAGTTCGGTCCCGTTAGGCTCGCTACCTGGGGACCTCGAGATGATCGTAACCGATGGTTAGAGACAGTGATATGGCTGAGTGTCGTAAACAGTGACGTTCGTGCATTTTCTCAATTTCTTTGCATCCACAGTTTACTGAAGTTCTCAATTTCCTCTTCGACTCTACCTTCAAGTTTCCTGTCTTTCTCCTATTCTTTATCCAAATGGGCCGGCCAAAGGACNCAGCAACCAAAACGAACGCTCGATACTGCATTGCTAATAGTTGTACAAACTGAAACTGAGAGTTAGACATAAGCGAAATGTGTCTTAACCTATTGCGCTGGATTCGATGCGATCGCTAGCTCTTATTCGATGCATTCCCAAACACCCGACAACCTCTAGGTTACTAATCCGCTCACTCCATTCCACCTATTCTAGAACACCTAAGCCTCGATTGTGGGAAATCACTAGGAGACGGATGTCTTCTACTAGTAAATTTAACCTGTCACGACCGTAAAGTAGAACTCACCGTGCAGTATACGCCACTTCAATTTCAATGAAACGTCACATCAACTCCCTCTGTTTTAGTCCTGCATACGCTACTTGAGCCTTGGAAATGCGGGCGGCTATCTCCATTGATGCGCTACCGTCGTTGGTCATGCAGCTACCGAAGTACAAAAAGCACTCAACTACAGCTCATTCCTGACCATCTAGTTTCAAGAAGGGACTCTGCGACACTCAGTCTTGCAGCATCACTTAGCACTATTAAGGTGCAAACGCATGCGAACTGAGCAACGGAACTTGCTGGTCTGTCAAGTGCGCTTTGCGCATCCTTCATAAATCCAGACAGATAAAGGATGTCGTCAGCATACTCCAAATAGCATAACTTTTCTCTAGCTACCGGTTCATTACCAACTTTATTGTGCATTGTTATAATGAATAAATAAAAAGGAAATAAAAACATTTAGTAATTATGACAACATTGCGTATACCACTTAGTGCCTTCTCCAGTAATTGAACAAGAATGGCGAAATAGGGAACCCTTGATGAACACTGCTGCTAATTACGAATGATCTACTCAGCTCGACGTAGACCCCTACGTTACCAGAAGTATGTGAGTAGAGTGAAATCAATACATTCACATACTTCTGCAGCATTCTTTTGCCCAGGAGTGAACCCAGAATGGATTCACGGTCAACTGAGTCGAAGTCTCTTTAGGTCAAGGAACACGGCAACCGTTGGTCGACGGTGCGTATGGCGTAGCTCGAGTACTTGACGCAGCGTGAAAATCTGGTCGACACAGCCGCGACCTGGTCGAAATCCTGCTTGTTGTTCACGGATATTTGTCTCCCTAATCGGTGTCAGACGTCGAAGTATGCTGGAGGCTAGTAACTTGGTGACGATTGGGATCGAACTTATTCCACGGGGATTTGCGCAGTCATTGCGAGATCCCTTCTTAAAAATTGCACCAATCAGTGATCAGCATCTTCATTGTACAGCTTAATATAGTGAAGCAAACTTCACTGATCGCTGTAATTCGCTTCAGGATGACGGAATGCGCTCTTGTAACTAGATATTACGTAATAAATCAGTAATGGGAATCCAAGAGGTCATTATCCTCTACTTTGAGAATAGTGGGAGTAAGCCTGTCGGTTCCTGCTGCTTTTCCCCTCTTCAGTGGATGCAAGATCGTACTTCTGCTCCATTTAGTAGGA